ACTGTCAGACCTGCTGAATAAAGAAATCAGGTAGATAGAAGCTGAAGCAGACTGTAAGAGTGTGGGAAGGGTCCCACAGCCGTCTGAGGCTTTGAGACTCCACTGAACCACAGTGAAAGCACCGTACATGGATGATGGCCAACCTTCCAGGGCTGTCTTCTCAAATTGCTCCAACAGCACATGAAATCATGCAGGAGGTCCCAGAAGAACAACATCAGAAGAACTGCAGGCCTCAGTTGAGGTCAGTGTTCATGATTTCACAATAAGAAAGAGACTGGAGACAAAGACACACAGGCTCATCTCATACGTGCCAGAAAACATCCCTTCTGTAGTCTTTTTCCATCTGCTGTAAAACGAACACATTGTGTAACAGTTCTGCTTTGCTGCTTCAGGACAACCTGCCATAACTGATGGGACCATGAGCTCTGCTCTCACGAGCAGGTCCACTCTGTGGAAACAAAATGAAGGTTTTCAAATGATCCAGTCAAAGTCTGGACTTCTGACTGAGATGTTTGGCGTCCTTAGAAACCCCCCAATGTGGCTGGAAACAGTTTTGCAAAGTCAAGCGGTCCAGGTTTGGATAGCTTTGTTCAAATGAAATATAAAACCTGCATTTTGTATTTATGCGGGTTATTCTTGTCTAATATCACAATTTGTTTGATGATCTGCAAAGTGAGACAAATATGCCAAAAAAAAGCAAAATACAAAATAAATAATGGCAAAAAGGTTTTATTCACGTGAGCAAATGTCCTGCTCACGTGTATGTGAAGTGCAGAGTTTATAAATCAGTGAAATCAACACGTGAACATTTACACGAGGCGTGTCCTCTCAAAAAGACACAAGTGCAGAAAAGACATTCACACTGTGATACCAGCCTGAAAGATCAGCATCTTTAAGGTTCAAGCTGAGACTTTTTCTGTTTCTCACTCGAACATTGACCATCATTGACAGAATGAGCCGAGGCGCCCTGAACATAACGCACGTCAGTGTGAAATCTTTTATATGGAGTCTGAGAGTGAACCGTGAACCGACCGTGCAGATAAATACTGGTTTTGATGGGGGGCCTGTGTTGCCCTGGGCCCTGGAGTTGGTTGATCCACACCTGATCATCATGTTCATATGAATCTGTTTTATATTTTGTCAGTAAAGGCTGGAAAAACCCATATTCACTTTATCCAGATAACAGCCCGTTCCCTCTGCTCGAGATTTAACTTTAAGGAAAGTGAAATGTCACCGGGGCGAACTTTGACACCTGCAGCAGCGCCGAGGAGCCGTTTCTGATGAGTTTACATGGAGGAGAGGTGAGGTGTGTGCTGCTGGAGTCTGCTTTCTACCGCCTTTAATCAATGAGAACAGTTTTTGTGGGCCTCTGGAGAGCGAGCAGAGCCGAAGATAAATATTGGCAGCAAAGAAAAATGTGTGGTCCTCCCCAGTCGAGGGGACATAATGATATTCAGAAGGAGACCCCCTGCTGAGACACAAGGCAAACTGTTCCTAAGCAACAAAACACATTTTCCCTCTCCGAGTGCTCAGAACGAGGCTGGCAGCAGGGGAGGTGTGTGTGTGTGTGTGTGTGTGTGTGTGTGTGTGTGTGTGTGTGTGTGTGTGTCGCTCGCCATTTGCTTGTGGGGCATGTGGGGGTTCCCCTGACGACTTAACCCATCAGTTTGATGCATGTGTCATTCTCTCTGTCTCTAAAAAGTGTGTCTTTGTCTGTCTGACTATAAGTCAGCAGTTTGTGTGTGTGTGTGTGTGTGTGTGTGTGTGTGTGTGTGTGTGTGTGTGTGTGTGTGTGTGTGATCCTCCGTGGATTAAGGGGTGTTAGGGAACAGTGACCAGCATCAGTGCGAGTGGATTCAGTCCACATGCTGCCACACACTCAGGGCTTACTGCAGCTGCATTGCTCTGATGGATGGACATATATCAAGTGAAGCCCCGTGATGAAGAGTCCCGGTGCTGGAGTGTTGTGTTCGTGTCAGTTCATTGAGAAATAAAACCAGACAATCCGACATTGTGCTGCAGTTATCAGTGAGAGGCAAAGACAGCATGTTAAAACGCTGCATGTCATGCATGTCCTCTCTGTGTGTACATGGGTGTCCACATGAACAGGAGTAGATGATGGAGTTCTGCATGAAACAGCCCATGGGCCTGCTTTAACCTCCTACGACCCGAACTCGTCCACAGCAGCATTTTTAATTTCTCTTTGATATTTTGCACATTCCGCCCGATCAATGTAAAAACAAAGAATTACCAGATTTTATTTTTTTACCTGATTTTTGTTTCTAAGAAAATGAGAGCCACAAATGAAGGTATTTGTTTAAAATGTTGATAGTGGCAGCATAATGTCCTCGTGAGTGGGTATCACACATCCATCATGTTCTGATGCTTATCCGGGTGTAGGTCATGGAGGCAGAATAACCACACAGACCCAGCTACCCTCAGGCATTAAACAGGTGCCTACAAGCTGGCCGAGAGATGTAATGTCTGTAGGTCTGCTTTGGTTCAACATGCTGGAAATATCTCACCGCTGAGTTTTAGCACCGCCCTAAACTCAGCGTTACCGACAGAGACCTGCGTAGTCACCAGCTGAAGGCTGGATGGGTCACAGTCTTCATAGCTGCAGGTTTATCAGTCGGGACACTGTGGTTTGCATCCTTTGCACGTTGTCTTCATTTCCCAGAAAGGTTAGGCACTGAACACTGCTGGGTTAGCATCGGGAAAAGATTCGGCTAAAAACACGACATCCTGCATGTTTAAGGACTCGTCTGTGACTGCCAAAGGACATCCTGTGGATAACTGTGATACGTTAGCAACTTAGCATTAGCAAAGCTGGCTTGTTTTAAGCCATGGTAACAAGAATGGCCTCCGCAGTGTGGCTAGGATGAGTCTGAGGCTGCGTCCACACGAATGCGTTTTCGTTTGAAACGTTTTCTCTCCGTTCTGGCCTCCCGTCCACACTGAGACGGCGTTTTGGAAATGCGCTCAAAAACGCACACATTTGAAGACTGTGCGTTTGCGTCGCAGTGTGGACAGTGAAAACGCAGACGTTGTAAAACAATGACGCATTTATGTGATGCAGTCACGTGACCAATTAAACAAAGATAGCGGAGGGCATTGACGGCCCTGTTAAAGAATAACATCAGTCTGTACAAGCTGCAGACAGCTGTTCTTCAAATTCTTTCATTCTCACTCGCTTTTGTGCGACTGGAACGTCAGTGTTTTCAGAAGTTTCAATGTGGACGCACAACTCTGTGAAAACGACTGAAAACACCAGTGTGGACGCCGAGCGTTTCCAAATCTATCCGGGCCAGTGTGGACGTAGCCTCAGTGTGAGGAGCTCCCACCTCCAGAGGGAGTTCAGAGTACAGCTGCTGCACCTCCACATTGAAAGGAGCCATGAGCATCTGCTCATGATAACTACTGGACCTCTCCCTGTGGAGCTTTGCAGGCGGCCTCCTGGGAGTAGACCCTGGGGTAGATCCAGATTCTCACCTGGGCTCGGCTCACCTCAGCATCCCCCAGGAGAACATCTTAGCCTGCTACCACTGACTTTATAAGTGATGGTCCGGGGGAGGGAGGGAGGCATGTATTTACTGTCAGTGAACTGGGCTTCATCGGAAACAGAACAACGTCAATCAGACGGACTTTTGTCTGTTAAGATAAATGTGAGAAAAAGCAGATTCAGTCTATCTGTACTTCACGTGTGATAACAGCTCTGAACACTGGCTCCTCTCAGTGCACAGGAGGAGGAGCTCCTGACGGTGACCTTACACACTCATTTCTAACACAACTTTGCTCTCACCGTCACCGAGTCCTGGAGGGTCGAGCAGGAAAGTGTCAGCTTGCATTTTTGGCTTCTGGTGGTACGTAGATGAAATGAATCTGCTGCAGAGACACTATTTAACTGTGTGTACAAATAACACTGGCAGAGTGATCTAAGAAACACAGGGTTTATCTCAGAGGTTGTAAAAGGAAGAACTGAGTCCTGTAAAGGAAAACGGTGGTTTTAATATGTGCTGCTGTTCAGATGGAAGAGCCGACGCACAAAAAGAGAGCTCATCATTCATGCTGCTTTCATCTGACTGTTCAGCACTGAAGACGTCCTGATATTTCAAAGACTAAAAACATAAAGAGACTCATCATTATCACCGTCACGGCCTCCCGACAGTTAATAGGTAATCCAAGGCTGACACCTAGTGGTAAAACACTGCTTGTAAAACAGCCAGGAGATGATGGAGGAGGCGTTTCCTCGGGGAATAACATCGAACCAGTGAGTCTGTCCGGAGCGCTCAAAGGTCATCGGTGACCAGAACGCAGCAGGATGAATTGAGTTACGTTTGAATACTCGGGGATTTTCTAAAAGGGAGACGAAACACACACACAGGACAAAGAGCTCCTGGCTGCTGCCACACAGACTGTGATGGATGGTGGAGAACAAACCACAACAACATCAGCGATACCTCCCCAGCACAGTCCCACGGTACTTAAACAAATACCTTTTAAAAATACGCTTCAGATGTTGGGAGGAGTAGAAACAGCACCTCGGCCTCAGGGCCAATCACAGCAAAGAAGCGTGGCGCTAAAGAAGGCCGAGCACGTGCTGATCCTACACAGTAACACCAGTCCACAAATGCAGCAAAGACTGGGAGCTGTTCTCACCTCCCACCATAGAACCAGTACACCCAGCACCATCAGTGGACAGAGGTCACTGCAGTTTACTGGGAAGCTTTTCTCAGGCCTCGCCTTAGAGGACCCGTACAAGCAAAAATCCAACACATTTTAGTATGACATCATCATCTAGCAGGGACCTGTTTGTTGCGTTGTGGGTTTGAAACTGTGTTTAGTGTTAATGTAACCGGTGTTACAGATGCTACACTCGGGTTATTTCAGCACATCGCGAAGATGGACAGGTGACATCTCAGCTGCTACACCTGTGTGTGTGCCCACATAGTGCATGGTGCTCACTATGACAGAGAACTGTGTGTGTGTGTGTGTGTGTGTGTGTGTGTGTGTGTGTGTGTGTGTGTGTGTACCGGGGGCACACGTGCTGCAGTCCAACAGTGTTGCAGCAGCTTGCATCACAGTGTTTCCCAAATAAACTCCACTAATTTCCCCATGTGGTGATTAAGTACGTACAATGAAATCGTTTGGTGTTCTGTCGCAACCAATTATGTACACTTTGGAGTCACGAGTGGCAACATGAGAGACCGACAAATTAGCTGCCATTCGTAACATTTATCCTTCCTGGAAATCTGAAGCTAAATCAAAGCAATTATGACCCGAGCGTGTCTGCTTTACAGTTTACCAAGTTTATTAAGCAAATTAACTTCCTAATTAGCTCCTGGTTTTGTGCACACTTTCATCTGCTTTTTGGGTTGCTTTTAAGTAACGGCCAGCACACGAGAGCCCAAACAAACCGTGTATGAATGCAACAGGGGCAGGAGAATGGGCCACTTACAAATCACACCTAATCAAAATCCCAGCATGGAGTTGGGGACACTTGGCGTGTGACGACTGAAATGCTCTGACGAGTCTCAAAGACTCAAAGGAAATTCTCCTCGGCTAGGAAAGCTGCTCGTGATCGACTTCAAAAGGGTTGTTCTTCAGCAAGTACTCTGCCTGAAAGACAAGGAGACGTACGCCATCACGATTAACGCCACGTGGAGGAGACGCTAACGACCAGGCAATAATCTGTGGGCAGTGAAATACCAGGAAGTCCACGGGGTCCTGTGGTTGAGCTCGGCAGCATGCAGTCAGACCCTGGCTCAGCGTGGGCACTACCTGTTCCATCAGGTAGCCCCTCATGGGGCGCGACGTGGCCTCCAGCTCCTCCTCCTCCTGCTGCCTCACCTGCTCCAGCTTCTTAGTCTAATACACAGAGACATGTAGAGAATAGTTCAGCTTGTTGCCTCTTCTGGTGTGTATCCGTCATGGCCAGCAGAGTGACACTGACTGTCTGCTTGTTAAAGCAGAGCTCTTCACAGCGCACTCCTCTGCTCATTGTTAGGAAATGTGTTTTATATGTCGTTAACAGCGCCTCGTCTTTCTCCTCCACCTACCCACTCAGCCCAGCGTGCAGCCCTGGCTCTGGCCTCGTCGGCCTCCATCTGCTCCACCTCTGCTCTCTCCTGGGCTTCTCTCCTCAGCCTCTCGCCAGCCTTCCTCCTCTCCTCCTCCTTCACCTCCTGGCTGCTGGGACCGTAGTTTCTGGGCTGGCCCACCATGTCAATGACCTTCTGCATCAGAGGCAGGCAGTCTGCTTCAGCGTTGCTGCTGATCTCTGCAGACGAGGAGCACAGAGACTTTTAGCAACACTAAGAAAGATTTCCCCCTCACAAGTGATGCAGTCTCTCTTCACGGGTTACCAAACTGCAGAGGGATGATGTCATGCTCATAAAAGTAGTTGAGGACCACATCATCCTCCGACTGTTTCTCGTTGTAAGCAGCCAGCCGCCTCGAGAAGTTCTCTGGCTCGCAGTTGTGTTCCTGCACGCGGCTCTCGGGCAGGTTGAGCACTCGATCCAACAGGAAGGCCTCTGTGGCCTTCAGGCACAACACAAACTCTGTGGCCACACAAGACAACTGTTACTGATGGAGCAGGCTGCACATCTGTTACTGTTGTTGTTAAATGAGAAATAAAAGGATCTGAGTCACAGCTCCCTGCAGGTACCGGGTATAATGCTGGTTAAAGAATTCTGGGATGTTGCATCCTCTTCTTTACCTGGAGAAGAGAAGAGTGAGTGAGCAGGTGAGGCCCTGACGTGCAAGAGCCTCGGGGTGTCCGACTCACCGTCAAAGAGCTCTTTGGCTTGTTCACGTGTTTGGGGAAAGTCCTCCAACACATAACCCTGGTTTTTACACGGGTGAGTCATCAGCTCGTCCCTCATCACGTTCAACAGCAGCTCCTCCTCCAGACCTGCGGGATTCATGTTTCTATTCAACTGATGCCTCGAGGCGCGACAATAGCAAAGATCAGACAATAATACCAATCTGTGCAAATAGTCCATGTGATCATGTGACAAAACCATCCAATCCGAACACTGTTCACAGCAGCAGATCGTTTCCCATAATACAGATAAATCTGTAATTACCCGATTTATCCTGCAGCATGTGCAAAAACCTGCCGAACTCACATCATGCTCACTTTGTGAGAGCTAACCATAAACTCCCAGCATGTCCCTGCAGCTGCACACACACACATGCAGACACCTCACACACAGGTCGAGGACACACACCAAGTCTCTGACCGAGGAACAAACACAGCACCCAGCAAAGTGCAGAGCACTCAAAGCCAATATAAAGGCTGAACTCTGTCACCGTACAGAGAAATGTTCACGTTTGAGCTGCATATAATACAAGCTGCTTCAAACAGTTGCTGTCTGAGGTGCAGAAAAGTGAGCTACAGTCCTGAAGAAGCTTTTTCCCAGTCAAGTATAAAAAGTTAACAAACTGAATTAAATCTGACTATTCCAGAGTCTGCATAGAGCACCAAAGAAACATGGAAACAGACCAAATGTCCCTCATGAATGTAGAAAACAAACACAGTCGTGTATGCAGATCAGACAGGATTGATTAGCAGCTGAAACACAACATCAGTGTTTTACAGCCACCCGGTGTCCATAACATGCTGGGCTCTGCTGAACAAACGTGAAGTGATGAAGAGACGTGGTTTTGGGTCTGATCAGATGGCTTTTACATAAAGAACATAGCTCTGGTTTGCTGTCTGATCCCTCTGAGGAGGCGCAGTCACCTGCTGTATCGTACCTGGGCTGGCTGCAGAGCCATTAGCACGTCAGGTCAAAGCCAGACAATCACAGGAGCGGCAGTTTTGTACGCTGACACGAGCAAACCCGTCTAAATGTTTACCAGCATCAACTGAATGTGTTACAGTCAGAAATACTGTCATAAATACTGAAGCAGCTATGATTACATTAGGTTAAATATTAATGCAGAAGTTAGAGTCATGAATTAGTTCTTTTTTTCTTTTTTTTTGTGTCCCGTTTGGATCTTTAGCATCAGAAATGTTGTCTTAAGGCCAAGAAAGATGCCAAGCGGATTTATTTTACCAAGTGGATCATCATGGCCTTGCCATATTGGTCCATTTGATTGACCTTGATTATAATTATGAATTTATTTTATTTTGCTACAAACGGGACAGACATGACTGGGGGATAGGACAGGGAGAAAGAATGAAAGAAAGAGAGGGAGAGAAAGAAAACCAGAGGGGAGAAGAGACGGTGAGAAGGGGGGGAAGAGAGAAAAAAACAAAACACCTGGGTCACCTGTATGGAGAAAAAAAACAGAAGAGAAAGCAAACAACAAAGAGCAACATAATAAAAAAACAGCACCATCACAATAAACTAGCTAGCAGTAGATATCAGTAGATACTAAATAATAACGATATTGTGCAGCACGCAAGATAGACAGCACACAATGTGCTTTGAGGCAGCAGCCAAGAAAGCTGTAGTCCGCGTCTGTGAATACCCGTGTGTACACCTGTGTGCATACCTGTGTGGATCAGCATGCTTGTATTCCAAAGGTTTCTCCATGTAACGATCTGCTAGGGAGTGTGGGGGGGCCACAGCCCCGTCCTCCAGGGCATGAAGCAGGTATGGAGGAGATCCAAGCCCCCGACATCCAGAGGCCCCAGAGTACGAGGACCCGAGGAGGACCACCAAAGGGGGGGGAACCGTGCCACCCTCCTGGGAAGAGCTGAGTAGAGCCCCAAAGGAGAGGTCACCCAGCAGCTACGGAGCAGAGGTCAGAGGGGGTTGCAGTGGCGTGCCCGCGGGCTCTGCCGGCAGCCAGCTGTGCCAGAGAGGACCAAGCTTCAGGCCCAGAGGCCAGAGGCCTGAGGGCATCCCACCCCCCGAAGGAGCCCAGCCGGGCCACAGGCGCCCGGCCCCGCCAATCGGCCACCAGGACTGAGCCGGTACATACATGAGCGCCCAGCCCCAGACGACAAGGACCACCAACACACCAATGTCTGAGGGCATCAGCCACCGGCAGGGAGTGTGGTGAGGGGAGATAGGCCTCCGTACTTTAGAGGGCCTGAGATGTACCCAGAGAGGTGGAGTCTAAGACCCAACCTGACATATAGACACAGACGAACAGGCACGCACGCGGACACAAACGTGCATTCCCACCCCATATACACCACCAAATACTCGACACTCACCCAACGTGTAGACAGACACATGAATTAGTTCTATACAGAAAACATGAAGACATAACCCAGAACTTTGGAAGGAGGAGATGTCAGGTCTGCTGCTTCAGACTGAAGTTAGGACGATTATCATCTAAGGAGCTCGGAAAGAACGGGGACCAGACCAGTTCTGACACCAGGTGATGGAGTCGCAGGTGTGGGGTGTGTGAAACAGGGCGTGGATTTACTGCGATACAAGTACAAGTAGCAGGGTCTTGTCTCACTGCATGACTGATGTCGCAGTGAAACAGCATGTTGTTGCTGCTTGTTTGTATTTTGCTTCTTCAGATATTTTTAAAATCTTATGAAACTGTATATGAGCTTCCTCCATAGCTTACGTGAGTGCGACTGCCTCACAAACACCAAACATATACTTAAAAACAAACAAACACATTTCTGGTTCTTAATAATTAAAACTAGAAATTACCCTCTCGACAGATAAACACACTGCCCTCAGTCACGACTCGAGTGCCAACACCTCCAGACCTCGTTATCTGAAGCCGTACCTGGGTTCTGTTCCAGGCGTTCCTTCATCATGCTCAGCTGCTCCTGGGCCTCTTGTGTGGACTGCCCTTCACCGGGATCAGGATTCCTGACAGCATGTTCCTGAAGGGAAAGCAGATTACAATGCTACAGCTGTACTCAGTTCTGATTGATTTGGAGGAGAAAGTAAAGAGCTCACCAGCCGGGCGATGGTGTCAGAGACGGTGCCTTTCACTGTGACGTGATGGAGTCGGTAATATTCGCAGATCTTTTTGGACACTGTGGTTTTACCTACTGCAGGAGGGCCCAGTACACAGAGACGGACGGGCTGCAAACACACAGATTAGCCAGTAAAGCCTGACAGTGTGTACACTGTATATGGTCTCATGTGTGTGCGACTGCATACCAGCAACCCGCGGCTCTGCCGGTACTCCTGCACCACCACCTCGATATTTTCCACCAGACCGAACTGGCACACCCAGTTAAAAGAGAAAAGTTTCTTGATGTAAGCAGCCTCCATGCGGAGACTGACCAGCAGAGAGTCGGCTTCCATCACCTGTTGCAGCAGAAACAAAACACGGCAG